TTGGATCCTGAATTTCTTCTGTCACACCTTGCTTTCCCTTTCCACCATTACCTGTTTGTTGGAACTAGATGTGTTTTTCTCCTGCCTTGGGAAACAGGCTCCTGCCTTGGTTGCTGCCCTAGTGGCCTCTAGAACTGGGCGTGATCAAAGTGCAGCCCATATAGTTCTTCAAGGTCGCTCATGGTTGCCACCTTTTGTATGGATGTTTGGCTGCTGGAAACTACATTTTTAGTTGTTCCATCTTGATCCAAGCAGTCAGGTTTCTTTTTTGAATGGGCACTCTCTTACAGCCACACCTCCCTATTAAGGAGAGTAATTTCAAGCTACTCTCTTTTTTGCAAAATAAATGAAGCACTCAAGATTAGCAGTATAAAAGCAGAATAGCTACCAAAATGTATAGAAAGTGACAGCTGATCTGCTGATATAATTGCTATAAAAGCATATGAGGTCGCTGTTAAGATTTTGCATTAAAGTGCAAGTTGGATGAAGTTGGCAATGTATTGCTAACAGAAGGAGATAGAAGTGAAAGCCTTATTGGGAGAGGGTATTAACAATGGTGTTGCAGGCAAAATGAAAGTGGAAAGGTTTTGCACCAGTCTGTCTATGTATAATTTTCATTCTTTTAAGGTTTTGTGGTTTTCTTGTAAGGTTTTGGTTTCACCACCAGGTAAAGGAAGGAGTGAAAGGTAAAAAGGCATTGTTTAAAAAGTGGAAGTTAAGTGAGGAAAATAGAAAAGAGCATAAACTCTGTCAAATTACGTTTAAAAATATAATAAGGAAAGGCAAAAAAGGAATTTGAAGAACAGCTAACCAAAAATTGAAAAAATAATAGCAAAGTTTTTTTGTTAAGTACATCAGAAGCAGGAAGCTTGCTAAACAACCCGTGGGCTACTGGAGGATCGAAATGCTAAAGGAGCGCTCAAAGATGATGTCATTGCAGAGAAACTAAATGAGTTCTGTGCATTGGTCTTCATGGATGATGATGTTAGGGAGAGTCCCAAACCTGAGCCAGCCTTTTAGGTGACACGGTTGAGGAATTTTCCCAGACTGAGGTGTGATTAGAGGAGGTTTTAGAACAAATTGATAAACTAAACAGTGACAAGTCACCAGGACCAGATGACATTCACCCAAGAGTTTTGGAAGAACTGAGATGTGAAATTGCAGAACTACTAATTGTGGTTTGAAATGTAGCCTCTAGTCATTTGGTACAGAAACTGATTTAGAGGATAGCTAACGTGACACCAATTTTCACAAAGGGCTCCAAAGGTGATCTTGGCAATTACAGACCAGTAAGTCTAATTTCAGTACTTGGCAAATTGGTTGACTCTATTGTAAAGAACAGAATTGTCAGACACATCGATGAACGTAATTTGTTGGGGGAAGAGTCAACACGGTTTCTGTAAAGAGAAATCATGACTCACTAATCTACTTGAATTCTTTGAGAGGGTCAATAAGCATGTGGATAAGGGTTATAATGTACATAGATTTCCAGAAGGCCTTTGACAAGGTTGCTCACCAAAGGCTCTTAAGCAGTCTAAGCTGTCATGAGGTAAGAGGGAAGGTTCTCTCTTGGATTGATAACTGGTTAAAAGCAGGAGCGGCCTGAGACGGGCTACGGCAGCTGGCTCCCCAGGCGGAACGCGCGAACTATGCCCCCGCCTTCACGGCCGTCAATGGAGTGACATCATCATCGGGCGCCCCGTTGAAGGTGGCGTCCTAGGGGACGGCCGAATCAGCCTATAGTCACGGGCCGCCCCTGGTTAAAAGATATGAAACAAAGGGTAGGAATAAATGGTATTTTTTCAGAATGGAGAAAGGTAACTCTTCAAGATCGTTAAGTTTAAAGCAGACTGAAGAGCTTCAGAAGGATTTCTCACAAAACTGAGTGATTGGACAACAAAATGGCAGATGAATTTTATTGTTGATAAATGCAAAGTAATGCTTATTGGAAAACTTAATCCCAACTAGGGATGTAAAATCCTGCTAAATCAGTTAACTGGTTAAACCTTAGATTGTTACTGCTTGCTCCCCAATGAGGGGGCTGCCAGCAGGAAGGGGTGGCCAGCTCTGGCTCCTTTCCTCCTTCTCTCCCCGCCCCACCCGAGCACGGGTGGCCAGCTCCTACTTCCACCCTTCTTTCCCCGATGTGGGGCGGCCAGCTTTTACTCCCAGCCCACTGCACACGCGGGGAGGAAGGGGAGGAGGGTGGCAGCTGGCTCCCGACCCTTACTGGCTCCTAACTGGTACACAGGAAGCATCATCATTTATAAGATGATGGTTACTGGATAACTGGTTATGCGTTCTCACCCCTAATCCCAACTATATGTGTAAAATGATGGGAGCTAACATAACTGTTACCACTAGAGACAGAGATCTTGGCGTCATTGTGGATAAGTCCCTGAAAACATCCATTCAATGTGCAGCAGCAGTTTAAAAAAAAAAGGCAGAAAACAATGTCAGGAATAATTTAAAAAGGAATAGAGAATAAGACAGAAAATATCTTATTGCCTCTATATAAATCCATGCAGATGTGGTCGCCTCATCTCAAAAAAGATATCTTGGCATTGGAAAAAGTTCAGAAAAGGGCAACAAAAATGATTAGGGGTTTGGAATGGCTGTCATATGAGGAGGGATTAATAACACTGGAACTTTTCAGCTTAGTAAAGAGGAGGCTAAAGGGGGATATGATAGAGGTCTCTATAAAGTCATGACCAGTATGGATAAGGTATATATGGAAAAGTTATTTACTAGCTTCCATAACACAAGTAGGGAGGGTCACCAAATGAAATGAATAGGTAGCAGGTTTAAAACAAACGAAAGGATGTTTTTCTTCACACAACACACAGTCAGCCTGTAGAACTTCTTGCCAGAGGATTTTGTGAACACCAGGGCTTTAACAGGTTCAAAAAAGAACTAGATGAATTCACAGAGGATAGGTCCATCAGTGGCCATTAGCCAGGATGGGTAGAAATGGTGTCCTTAGCCTCTGTTCATCAGAGGCTGGAAATGGATGACAGGAGAGGGATCACCTTTTGATTACCTTATGTAAATCACAGTTGATTGCTCAGAATTTTGATAATCAAAATTCACTTAAATTATAAATGAATTACCTGGTTTTAGAATGTTGTTAATTAAAGCAAACAACAGAAATCCCCTCATTCAGAAACTATTTGAAATTGTATTTCCAAATATCAGCTGCATCAAAATTCAGTGGAGTATACGATAGGCTAAAGTGGAATCCAGATGCCCCAAATAAAAGTCATACGTAAAATACTCTTTAGCAGCAATTAATTAAATCATGAAGGAATGTTATTTAACCCACAAATACTAAAATCTGCATAATGGACATATTGGAAACTATTTAAGGTATATTTAAAGTTGCCTGTTCTTCAGTATCTTTCCCTGAAATGGTTGCCATCTGTGTTTGGATGGCTTTTGTCACTTCCAGCAATCTGCCTTTATTCTGTGTTTGATATGGGCTATAATTACAGGACATGGTTATACGGAATGTAGTCCAGATACCCATTAAGGAGGAGAGATGGGAGACACTGTATACATAAAAACATTTTCAGCATATTCATTTTTCTTCTTTAAAGCTTTAATAGTAGCTTGATATCTAAAAAAATTATAGACATACTTTTTAATGGCTTGACATATTGCTTTCTTGTGGTGTATAATAGTGAACCTTGCCTTAAAACTGCTGAATGATTTTGGATTTTTATGCTTTTTATGTCATACTTAAGGAGAGAAATATTTTTTTTTCTGGCAGAAAATGTGAAATGTAAAGCC